CCGTGTAATTTGAGGAGCTGAATTAAGATCGACATGCCTTATGGAGTAAACAGAGTCGGCAAAAAAAAATTGTATTGTGAATATGATTGAAAAAGAGTAACCTATGGAGTTTCTTGCTCGTTCTTCTCCATAGGAATCTACACTTTGGAACGAGCAAATAGCTACACTAAAGGACTGACCTACAGACTGACATTTTGTCTTATTATTTAATATTTAAATATTTCGTTTTGACGTTCAAAAGTACCTTCCTGGTCTAATTGAAATAAATTATTTTGACTTTGACTTAGAATCTATTTTTTCCTATTTAACGATTATGTAATGCTAAAAATTATTAAAACAGTCGAATTTCTATAGAAGATAATCCAAACTCTATAATTAAATTAATAAATCTATATAAATAAAAATGAATTTTAATTCGTTAGTCTCGCTAAAACTTGAGAACGAAAGAGAATTTTGGTTTTGCAATGTTTGCGGAAGTCTAGGGAAGGTTATAAGGTGAGAGAAAATGTTTAAGCGATACGAAGTTTGTCGGGACAACTAGAAGTTTACAAAATTGTAATAACTAGAGCAACAAACAACAAAATACCAACCATTAATATAGCTTCTTAATCACAAACCACAATTAAATAGCTATAGGTAAACAGTTCCGTATGTCAAAATGTTTGTTACAAACTTTATTAAATAGTTTTGAGGAAAATGCGACCAAAACATTTTATTAATAATCTCAAAACTATGACTAGTTACAAATCTTGTTAATTAAATCGTTCTCAAGCAGCCAATTAAACAACATAATATTTTCAATAAAATTTAACGACCTCCATTTACGGCGGTTGGCATTCGATTGATTTGATTGAAATATTAAATTGTATCTTGTATAGTATTTTATAGAAAAAATATTAGGTATTAGGTATACCTTACATTCTTGTATGTGATTTTGTCAAACCTTCGTTCCCAAAAAAAACATATTATGCTGAGCCACACATTCTTTATCGTATAAAAGTTATTAAATTTAAACGTTAGAGCAAAACCACTAACCACTTATTTCGTTTTTATAAACAAAATGTATGTATTCTAGGATTTACACTCATCGACATAGGTACTAAAAACATGTATAAAATATATGTATATGTTTATATTATAAAATCATTTTAAAAACATTACCATGACTACGTAAGTACACAAAACCATAAATGTTACAGATTTTAAGAGACCTCCCTCGTTGGCCGAGTGGTCGCAATCGCAAGTACGACTGGTGTGCAAGGGGTCTCGGGTTCGATTACCGGGTCGCGCAATCTACTACTGGGTTTAAAAAATAAGTCTCAACAGTAGCACAAAGTCTGTCAATGTGTCCGGTATATGGCAATAGGCTCACCCGCTATTACATGGGACTCATAACATAAATAGTGAAAAGTAGGTGTTACATTGTACAAAGGCATTAAGTGCCGTAATGTGCACGTCTGCTTACCCCTTGGGGGATAAAAAGGCGTGATGTTATGTATGTCATTTATTTTAAGAGAAATAAAACATTGCATTCATTTATTAATTAGGTCTGAAGATAAAGAATAAAGTTGTGAGAGCATCGTCATCTTTACCAAAAGATCACAAGTTTATACGAAATATCAACTATCTTCAACATATTCCACTTAGTTTTTGTCAGTATTATCCTATACTACATAGGAATTACTAAAGACAAAATTGTAGACAATTAATGTAATGCATTTAAACAAAAGGATGTTTTTTATTCGAAAATTGATTCTTGGAAATCGCAACGTCAATTTAAACTGTCAAACACCAAGCGGTCACCGGTGACCGCAACCTATTGTTCTATACCTAATTGTGTCTATAATGACGGTACTCGACGAGTTAAAACCACACCACTTAGGTAAGTCATGTAATTAAAGATAAATGTTGCACTGACTTATCATGATAGAGGTTTTCTTGCAGATCACAAGAGAATGCACAATTAGATAAGATGATAATTTTGGAAGATATGCTTTACATATTTAAGATTGAATATATAATGGACATTTCACTAATACCGTACCAAGTGTAAATCTGCTTATTTTCTCTAAATAACATTACATAACATAACATCACGCCTTTTATCCCCGAAGGGGTAGGCAGAGATGTACACTACGGCACTTAATGCCACTGTACAATGTAACACCCACTTTTCACTTTTTTTATGGAATAGGAGTCAAAAGAGCAGACGGATAACCTGATGGTAAGCAATCAGCGCCGCCCATGGACACACGCAACACCAGAGGAGGCATAGGTGCGTTGCCAGGCTTTTAAAAAGTAACACGCTCTTTTCTTGAAGGTTTGAAGGTCGTATCGGTTCGGAAATATCGCCAATGTATGTTATGAGTTCCACGTAATAGGGGATGAGCCTGTTGCCATAATGACGATATATCTTATTTTTAGTCATGACAACAAAATAAACAATCTTAAGAATACAGCTATTACAATATTAATGCACATTATCATTATATTTTTATTGTTAAAAACAAGACTGGTTATATGACTTGTTACATTAAATACATTACTTAAATTTTGTATATTTTAAAAGTCTAAGATAATCTGTGGTCCTACTGTTAAAAAAAATATAATTAAAAAAACTTATGTTTTAAACATTATCCGTTGACCACTGGAGAAATAAGAAGATAAGAAAATAATTGTTATTAACATATTATTATACAATAAGTTTATTTGTCTTATTTTCATGACGTTCAATTTTAGAGATTATGAGGCTGGAGAGTTATCAAATTACATTTGCGGGCAAAGCCGTGTGTGGAAAGCTGGCAGCAATAATAATTTCTATCAATAACGATTATGAAATGTTCCGTCTTATCAAAAGTCATTGATCTCTAAGTTCCCTACCACATTGCTCAACAAATTATCTTACACTAGCGACTCGCTCCGGCTTCGCACGGGTACAATATGCATTTATTATACATAAAATCCTTCCTTAAGAAGCTCTCTATCTAGTAAAAAAACCACATCGAAATCCGTTGCGTAGTTGTAAAGATCTAAGCATACACAGGGACAGACAGACGGCGGATAGCGACTTTGTTTTATACTATGTAGTGATTTCAAATCTATATATATAAAATTCAAAGGTGATTGACTGACTGACTGATTGACTGACTGACATAGTGATCTATCAACGCACAGCCCAAACCGCTGGACAGATTGGGCTAAAATTTGGCATACAGATAGATGTTATGACGTAGGCATTCGCTAAGAAAGGATTTTGATAATTTCCACCCCCAAGGGGGTAAAAAAGGGGATGAAAGTTTGTATGAGACTTTGTCAGTTTTAAACCGATCGGGTTGTAATTTGGCATGCAGATAGATGTTATGACGTAAGCATCCGATGTGAAAGGATTTTGATAATTTCCACCCCCAATGGGGGTAAAATAGGGGATGAAAGTTTGTATGAGACTTTGTCAGTTTTAAACCGATCGGGTTGTAATTTGGCATGCAGATAGATGTTATGACGTAAGCATCCGCTTTGAAAGGATTTTGATAATTTCCACCAAGGGGGTAAAATAGGGGATGAACGTTTGTGTGAGGCTTTGTCAGTTTTACACCGATCGGGTTGAAATTCGGCGTGCAGATGGATATTATGACGTAAACGTCCCTTTAGAAAGGTTTTTGAACATTCTCACCCCAAAGTATGATACTTTGCCAGTTTTAAATTGATCGGGCTGAGACTTTGCATGCATAAAGTTACTATGACATAGGTATCTCTTTAGAAAGGATTTTGATAAATTCCACCCCTAAGGGGATAAAATAGGGAATGAGAGTTTGTATAAATCTTCTTAGCCGTTGAATTTAGAATCATTGAATCTTTTTGAATTACATTCGGTAAAACGATGATTTGGGACCTGGGTAACGTATGATAGTTTTTTCACAGATGTCTCACGAGAACGGGAACTATGCGTCAATGCCCCAGGACTCTCTAACTCTTAACCACTGAACTTATTCTAGAGAGATTCGGTACAACAATAGTCGATAGAATAGTTTTTATTACTCAAACCTTACGTGATCGGGCACTGTACTGGTAAGATCCCTGCGGGATTATTTATTTATTGAAACTACGATAAATCATTTCAAAATAGGTAAATCTTACTTGGGCACTGAATTGATTCTGGTTAATTCTGTCAGAAGTCATTAATCTACGCGGACGAAGTCGCGGGCAACAGCTATCTACACATATAATAAATCGTAGAAAAGTCAAAACTGTACATTGAATATTTTTTAAAAGAATATTTGAAGCGTGATCTCTAATCGATACCGAAGCCAATAATGTGGTTTTTAGAATTTTTGTCTGTTTGTCTGTATGTATGGCCGTGATGATCTCAAAAAGTACTGCACTACCATTTCAAATTTTGCATGAATATTACTAACAAGTCTGGTAAACATATAGGCTACATATTATCACGCTATCATCTACGGGACTGAATCAATTCTGACGACATCCATTACCGTAGAATATCCCTTGATAAAAACTAATTCAAAAGCCTAAATTATGCCAGAAGTCATTATTCTACGCGGACGAAGTCGCGGGCAACAGCTAGTAAACAATAAGTTACTCGACGTTGAAAACCTAATGTAAAAATTTGTCATTTATATATGTATATATTATAATATTTTTGTTATTTTATATATTAAAGTTTTATATTCAGTGTAGTAAATAGTGACTAGAGCAGTGAGTAATATTTATGACTCTTACGTTTTTTTGGCGATAGGTCAATACACTCACACTTTATTTTTGTCACTATTTCTTAGATTTGTATCATTCAACGCCAATTGTATCAAAGTAACTAATATTGTGGGGCTTCCAGAATATCACCGAATTACCATATAATCAAACATAATTATTAACTTCACACAAAATCCCAATAAAATAATTTATATCACCAATAAAAAATAAACAATCTAATAACAATAAATTACAAATAACTACTCTAAAATAAACTAAAAAAATAAACATACCTTATAAAAATTCAACAGAAAAAAAATTCACAAACACTAATACACAACACGCACTTAAAGATCGAAAACGGCGTACGCGGTAACAGTAATATATTATAAATCAATTAATGATATATTAAATGAACTCGTACGATGCGCGAGCGCAGCACAACTGGCGAGAAATGTCCGCTGCACGACTATGTATACCACAACGATTGACGGCGCCGAGCGTCGGCGACAGTAGAGAAAACTGTGACTAAAGTTCTACTAAATACTAAGAATGATAAATGTATAAATAAACGCTTCAATGGTTATATGAATGAAATTGAGCTTGGAACTTCGAAGTGAATATCTGAATTTTAGAGAATATTTGTTTTATGAATGGCAGTTGGTTTTTTTTTATTTTCAATTTATTTTCAACTAGCTTCTGCCCGCGACTTCGTACGCGAAATCCTATTTTTTCCCGTCCCCGTTCGTGATTTTCGGTAAAAAGTAAAAAAAAAAAATTGGTCAAAAAGTATCCTATGTCGGTCTCCTGGCTCTAAGCTACCTCCATACCAATTTTCAGCCAAATCTGTTCGGCCGTTCTTGAGTTATAAGTGGTGTAACTAACACGACTTTCTTTTATATATATAGATAATGACAAATGTCATAAAAAAAAATAAAAATTGTAACATTACAATAGCGAATACCAACCAAAAAGCTTTATGATTCAACGATTTACAAATTAAAATAAAAGCGAAATAATATCAAAAAATAGATGTAGGTAAGAAATTTTAATGTCGGTGTAATTTTACCAAAAAAATACATTATTCATGTTCAACTTAAACTTAACCAACTTAACCCAAATTAATTAGTGAAACTTCATAATCCAAAAGAAAATATCCGACTAATTTACAAAACCATGGACGCACTACTCTGACGATATATTTAACACCGAATTCACAGTACTATAGTTATAAATACGTAAAACTATACTACGTATGTATGTATATGTGTACCTCGAGTATTTCCCTAAGGCCATCGTTCAGGAGGTCACACAACATGTAACCAAACGACAAACGTCATACCTATGACGAATATAACATTCATCATCTGCTATTCCAAATATGGAAATTAGGAGATTTCCGTTGCATTTTTAATATCAGTTACTTTTAAAACCTGTTTTCTTACATTACATAACATCATGCCTTTTATCTCCGAAGGCGTAGGCAGAGGTGCAATTACAGCAATTAATGCCACTGTACAATGAAACACCCACTTTTCACTATTTATTTTATTAGTCCCATGTAATCGGGAGTGAGCCTATTGCCGTATACCGGGCTCATTTCTAGACTCCAAAGTCAAAGTCAAAGTCAAAGTCAAAGCATTTATTTCAATTAAACCATAGTTTGGTACTTTTGAAACGTCAACAAATACAAAATAAATAATAGTCTGTCAGTCAGTCCGTCAGTGAAGCTAGGTGAAGCTAGGTGCTCATTCCAAAACGTAGATTCGAATGGAGAAGAACGAGCAAGAAACTCCATTCGTTACTCTTTTAAAAAATATATGTTTTATATGTTCTACAATGTCTCTGATACATATTTCAATACTGTACGCATATGTAAGAACAATGCAAAGACACGCTTGACGCATTATACTAATAACTTACTAAAATAAAAATAAAAATAATAAAGATCTTAAGTCTAACATGGTGCTCACATATGCATACTGACAATCCATAGAAATAGTGCTTCTATACAAGAAAAAGGAAACTCTTTGTTTCAATAAAGAAAGAAATGCTCGATGCCATAAGGAAACTAGATTGTCTACATTAGAATTAAAGTATTAAATTATGTATTATATTACCTACTATTGGAATTTAACTACTGACTACATTAATTGAGTATTGTCCAGTGGAGCCGAACCAACATGCTGCCAAGCATTCTTATCTTCAAAATAATCTGTCAGTGTGTAGTAAGCTTGATTACATAATTCGCGCTTAACCGACCGATCCGTGCTACTACTGACTATTTCTTACAAAGAACCATTAATACTGTGCTTACTTTAATCGAGCCCGAGACCCTTTACCCGGCAGTCGCACTTGGGACCACTCGGCCAACGAGGCAGTCTGTTTTCATTGATTTAAAAAGTCTTGTCTCTGATATGCATGTGAGGTATTCCCTGACTTTCTATTAAATTAAAATTACGGTTACCTTGAACAAATTGTAAACATAAACAAGACCCCTTGGACATAGAAGAGGGATAAGTGGAAGCGGTCTAATAGAAGTGGAAGAGGTCCAGTCTAGTCAAGTCTACATAGCTATAAACAAATTAAACTGTCAAACACCAAGCGGTTACCGGTGACCGCAATCTATTGTTCTATAATTGTGTCTATAATGACGGTACTCGACGAGTTAAGAGTTTATAATTGCATAGATTAAACTACGAAACTACTGCACCTCATACTCATATTTATACAGGATTAAAACGGAACACTCCCAAAAAACGTCGACAGGTGATGGTCATGAGGAAGAACCCCTCTGCGGCTCGAAACTAGTAGAGCTTTTCTCAGTATATTCACGTGAGTAACCCGCGATTTTTAGTGCATTTAGCATTCCTGTCCTACGATAGTTATTTAAAAACACAGGTCAAAATCAAGTTTTATTATCATAAAAATAAGGAATTCTTGTAATTTTTTTATGTAATAATTGTTGTATTCAACTACTGATGTTGCTTGAATAAAAGTAAACAAAAACAATTAAAATAGTCATGATTTTTGGAACCGTTTTTCGGGAGTATTCCCTTTACACTCCCAATGTCATCATTATCATCATCAACAGCCTATAAGTGCCTACTACTGAACAAAGCCTCTTCTTATATGGAGAAGGAATACACCCCCGATGTAAGCTCAAGATTATATAATAAAACTGATAAAACAGTACACTGCTGGTTTGATTTCTGTGTAATGATGGCTACTCAGTAATCACCTACAAATATAATAATCTATTTACAATGTACCTATTATGTTAATACCAAAATTATAAAATATAATTTCCTCATAATAATAATATTTGATATACTAACTTGCTAAGTAGGTACATGACCAGTTCTGATGAAGGGTAAATCCGTTCCTGATGAGTAGGTGAATAGTTATCGTGATATTCCTGAATATCATGCAACAATGTACATATAGCATGCCTATTTATTATTAATAGGATATTATATACCTTAATTATTGCCATTTTAGGCTTTATATCATTATCCTTGTCCTATCATCATGGTGAGTGGAAATTACGCAGACAAGCTAGGCTAGGAACCAAAACAGTTATTCATGTCCCTGTGACGACCCGGACTTCAGTGTTCCGGTGTTTTCATGGTTGTATCTACTGTAGATCCTGGCTTACAGGAGTTGTAGCAGTTTTGGGAGGATATGGTGGGCTTGCACCATTAAAAAAAAAAGAGAGAGATAAGCTAGATATTCCGTAACAGTTAATTCCATAGAACATAATATAAATTTGAACTCCCAAAGTGAGCTCGATGACATTCTTACTCGTCAGTGGTCAGAATTATTCTGACAACCAATGACAATGTTTATATTGGCATATTGCAATGCATATTCCTTGTAAATTTTCTTAGTACCTAAGAAATAAAAGGTATTTTTTTATTTATTTATTAAGGACAACAAAGAGCAGATGAATGATTTGGTACATGTTGCCGGCATGTTAAGGGTTTGGGGATTGGTTGTAACTAGGAGAAAAACCGGGTCTCCTACGTTATGACAGGCCAGGAGGCTTACTCTTGAATCCAATTCCCATCGATCGACATTGGTATTGTGAAATTTTGTACTCTTGAGTTGCAACACTAGCGCCCATTGCATCCGTATTGCATGGATATTAAAATATGATGGCTTTATTTTCCGTACTCTAAATGCTATTTTAAAAGCTTCGATAGGGGTTGTATAGTTTTGACATTGTATAATTATTGAGATTTTATTGGATTCAAATTGCAATGGCATTGAGATTGGTTTCAAGAGTAAGCACCCTTATAGAGATGAAGGTTCATAGTTCAGCAGCGAACTGTCACGAAATGAGGACTTAGTACAAGTTTGTCTAACGTTTAAAATGATCGAAACGTGACCTCACTCGGCGCTCTGATTGGCTGACTCCAATGAACCAGCCAATCAGAGCAGCGAATGCTTACTCGTTTCAATTACTTTAAAAACTCGTACTAAGACTTCTGTTAATGATGACGCTGACGTTGTAAGATGATTAGAACTTTGTACCTGCAAAACGGCGCGTTTATGACTCAAGTGCATCGCATCGTGACATTCTGACGTCATGTTATGTCAGGGAATCGTTGAGGTCGTCACGTCGTCGTCGCCTCGTCGGCGGGAGATTACTCAACACCATGGACTTTTAATACTGACACCTCATACCAAAAGATTTATTAAAAATCTGCACGCAGTCGCAATCTATCGGGAAAAAGGTGCGCCCTTTTTACCGACTTCAAAAAAAAAAGGTTTAAGATTCGGATGATTGTTTTTTTATTGTAGACTGTAAATACTTTTAAAAATAATCCTTATTCCTTTGTTTTTAGTAGTGTATCGAAATATTTCCATAATTATTAGCCTTTCATTAGTCGATTAACATCCACCTTTGACTAGTTACCTAATAGATGTATCTGTGAATGCAACTTTTCAACAACAACTGAAAATATTTTTGACTGAGTCATCATACCTATTTTCTAATTTACTAGTAGTGGATCCCGCGATCTTTTAGTCGCCTTGGAAAACTTTCAGCTTATCTTTGTTAATCTATAATAAAAATTAATCCCCTTTCCCTTGGTCACAGCATCACAGGTGAATGTCTGGACCGATTTCACTAATTCCTTTTTTGTTATATTTGTTATTATTAGGAGACGGTTCTTAAGACAGAAAAAATCCTGAAAATCCTACGGGACCGGGAGGAAACGGGATTGCGCGTACGAAGTCATGGACAGAATCTAGTTTTGTATAAAATTAAGAACCTTCTCCTAACAATAAGGAACCCAACAAAAAAGAATTAGTGAAACTGGTTCAACTGCTGCTGATTAATTTTATATGTATAATAGATATATATACATATGAAAAATGACCGTTTAAAAAAAAATTCTCATCACTGCCGTACGGTAAGATGCCCAAAAGGCTGTCAGCAATACCACGTT